AAAGCTTTGATAAAACCATCTATGTTCATATGTGCCTGTCTCGAAAAAAAAAAAAAAAAAAAAAAAAGACATAGAGAAGAGGTAGCTGTCTGACTGGGGTTATAGTGCCGCAGGCCACAAACTCCTGGGGCCACCAGAAGTGAAAAGAGGAGGATCTGTTCCCCTAGTGTCCCCAGAGACAGCACTGTACTGCCAGCAACTTGATTTCCAACCTGTCACCCCTGCACAATGACAGAACAAATTGCTATTTTTTTTAAACCACTCAGTTTATGATGCGATGCAGTTGGTCACCATTATTTGCTATTTTTACTACCTGCTAAAAGGGCAGGGGGCTCTAAACTCAGCCTAGAGCTGTCAAGGTCAGTGCAAGACCTGAGAAGAGCGATGGAAATTTTGTAACATCCTGTCCTGGTTAGGTTTTCGTCAGCTTGACACATGCTAGAGTCACTGGAAAGGGAGACCCTCAGTTAAGGAGTTGCCCCTCTCAGATCAGCCTGTGGGTGTGTCTGTGGGGGCATTTTCTTGATTGATGGCTGATGAGGGAGGGCCCAGCCCACTGTAGATGGTGTCACCCCTGGGCAGAGGATCTGGGGTTGTATAAGAAAGCAGCCTGAGCAAATCATGAGAAGCGAGCTAGGAAGCAGTGTTCCTCTGAGGTTGGGGTGTGCAAGGCAGAGAAATTCTTCCTTCCCCAAGTTCCTAGGTAAGATGAACAAGGTGGTGTCATGTGCATGTTTCAGATCTCTTGAACACATAACCTCACGATAGTCCAGGTTCACATTTTTCTGGTTTTTGTCGGTGATTCTCTTGCTTAAAATGCTCAAGTGTACTGTCTACGAGTTCTCTAATGTCCCTGAGCACAAGAAAGCATTTTATTAGCTCTTTTCAGACATAATGTTATAATGCAATTGGTTGTGAGTTTAGTGGGTTTCTTTAAGTATTTTATTTTATTTAATTATGTGTATATGAGTATCCCTGTGTGGCTATATGCATGTGAGCTCATTGCAATAGGAGGCCAAAAGAGGGTGTTAGACCCTCCAGAGCCAGAGTCGTGACGCCAATGTGCACATTGGCATTAGAACCCTAGAGCTGGGATTGTAAGTCCCCAGTGTGGGTGCAGGAACTGAACTTGGTTCCCTTAGCAAAAATATTATACACCCTTAATGGCCGAACCAATGTCAATGAATCGTGTGTGTGTGTGTGTGTGTGTGTGTGTGTGTGTGTGTGTGTATGTGCGTGTTTAAACAGAAGCCAACATAAACGTTATACATTGATTGCTCATCAGAAATTGTGACTAAAGACTCAGAAACTGAGGCCTGTGTTTCTCCTAAGAGCCAAAAGCCAGTATTGACTACTTCATTGTCAGCAACGACTTCATAGCAGAACAACTGTACGTGAGGAGAAGCAACCGTGGGGTCCTGTTTTTATAACAGTCTTAAGAAACCCAAGCAAGCCTTTTTGGACTTACCCAGAACCTTGCAGGCTTCTTGGATGAGCTTAATGGTGATGACGTCATCATACACGGTGTAGGTCATGAAGGCATCTTGCACTTCTGCAGAAGCCCTGGAAGATGCATCAAGGTTGGTTGAGCACTGGTCCTCTGGAGCTCAGTCCCAGGACAATCGCTGATGCAGCAATGTATGGTACAGCAAGGTCTGCATTCAGGGTCTTGAACAATGTGACTGTGTGGGTGTGGACTCCTGCCGAGACCATCCTCTAGACCCCAGTTTGAGCCTGAATAGACTCTGCATCTTCAACTTAGCTGAAGATGATTAGTCTACCCACCACTATCTCATGCTGGACTCCTTGATGGTGGCTACCGCCATTTGTCCCTTATTTCTGAATCCCAGAAAATGCTGCTGGACCTGGCACACACATTTTGAGGATCCTCAAACAGACAAGGGGTACTTGTGCCTGCAGCTGAGTCTCTAGATTTCCTTCTGCCTATGGGATTCCTGGTTTGGGTCCAATGGTTTCTGAGAATTATCACATGTGGCTATAACAGATGAAGAGGCTGGGGCAGATGTGGAGTGCCACAAACCCTCATTACTGCCACCCCAAATGGGGTATTCTCCACTGTGTTGGAGTGGCCTCTCTACTCATGCCACAGGGTGCCCTTTTGAACCAGAAAATAATAGGCAAGACCCTAATTGAGATGATGCATTGCCATAATCTCGGATGAAGGCACTAAGGGAGGTGATGTGAATCCTGGGCCCTTGGAGTGTGATCTGTGTGGCTGAGGCTATCCCCATCTCACCTCCAGTTCACCGTCCAGGTCACACAGCCTCTTCTTTCCTGCAGGCTGAACTGATAATACTGTAGCATTGAATGTTTTTCTGGATTTATGTACATGCTGCATGTGGCTGGGGTGGCAGACTCGCTGACTGCTAGGACCTGCAGCCCTGTTCTGGGTCTCTAACTCTGCATGCAGCAGTCACCATGGCCACTGCACACTGGAACACAAAATCTTTCAAACTGCCTTCGGGAAACAGTATGCTGGCCAATAGTTCGGGTTTTTTTTTTTTTAATAAACAAATTGACATTTAAAGCGAGATGAATGGACTTCTGCTAAGAAGGGAGAGAAAGACAACAGCAGGAGACATCCCCCCCCCCCGCCCCTCAGGGAGACCAGGACTTGAGAGAGCAAGTGATGAGAGGCAGAAAGAGGATACTCATCATGTAACATGAATGTCAGTCATGCAGGGCTCACCTCCACACATGCAGGGCTCACCTCTATACACTGAGGGCTCACCTTCACACATGCAAAGGTCCGTCTACACACACACACACACACACACACACACACACACACACACACACACA